TCAAAAGGAAAATAAAATGCGTGCAAATTTGTGTTTGGGGAGGAGTTTTATTGGTTCAACCCAAGGAAGGGTTGATGAGAAAACTATTGGAGGGTAAGAGTTGCAAGTGGACCCAAGAACAACTGGAACCAGGGACTGAACCTCAGGAATAGCAGAGGCTGTCTCTGCCTCCCACCCTGCTGCTCTAATGCAGCACAAGTCCCCATCATTTCAGGCCGGCCAACAGTACTCAAATGTTCCATTTGATAGGCCTCATCATCTAAGAGAGTGTCCTATATTTTAAAAATCTGAAGGATTCTAATTGGTCTGGCGTGGGTCAGGTACTCCTGGTCTACTCAGCTGAGACGGGTAAGGCTGAGGCAGGTCTCAGGAGCAGCACATGCAGAGTGGGGACCGATGCACTCCCAGCAAAGGGAAAGTCAACTGGGCATAGGAAAAGTATCTACTGCAGTGCGCTCAGGCCAGAATGCCCCCAAAGGCCTTTGTCAAGTTGGCCTGGATGACTTCTAACGCCATATTCTGTAGTCCTAGGATTTTAATCATTATGTTGATGCATTTATTTATTTATTTAAATTGACAAATAAAAATTGCTTACATTTATGGTATACAGCCTAATGTTTTGATGTATGTAAACACTCTGGAAATGTTAAATTAATTAACATATGTATTACCTCATATACTTAACATTTTTTCTTGTGGTGAGAACATTTAAAGTCTACCCTCCTAGTAATTTTCAAGTACACATGTTGTTATTATGCATGGTCACCTTGTTGTGTAATAGGCTCCTGAACTTACTTCTGTCTAATCGAAAGTTTAGATGCTTTGACCAGCATCTTCCCAGCCTCCTTCCCTCCAGACCCTGGGAATCACCATTCTAATTTCTGCTTCTATTAGGCTTTTTCCCATTCTACATAGGAATGAGGTCACGCAGTATTTGTCTTCTTGTGCCTGGCTTATGTCACTTGACATAACATCAGCCAGGTTCATCCATGTTGTCACTAATGACAAGATTTTTTTCCTCTTTTTTTTTTTCTTTGAGAGAGTCTCACTCTGTTGCCCAGGGTAGAGAGCCCTAGTTCACAGCAACCTCAAACTCTTAGGCCCAAGTGATCCCCCTGCTTCAGCCTCCTGTGTAGCTGGGACTTCAGGAGCCTGCTACGACACTTGGCTAATTTTTCAATTTTTAGTAGACATAGGGTCTTGCTCTTGCACAGGCTGGTCTTGAACTCCTGAGCTCAGAAGATCCCCCTCCTTAGCCTCCCTGAGTGCTAGGATTATAGCACAAGCCACTGTGCCCAGCCATTTCTTCTTCTTTTTAAGGCTGGACGGTATTTCATTGTGTATATTCTGTCCTGTTCATCTATTGACAGACACTAAGGTTGACTGCATATTTTGGCTATTGGGAACAGTGCTACAATAATCACGTAGGTGTAGATGTCCCTTTGAGATTTCACTTCCTTTGGCTGTACACCCAGAAGAGGGATTGGTGGTGCACTCCTAGTGACAGCATCCAGTGACTGTGGGGATCTTGCCACCCAGTGGGGTCTTGAAATCCCACTAGAGGGACTACCAGGGTGACTTGCTTGCCTTGCTGCTTGTCTACCAAGCCATATAGAAATCCTGGCTTTCCAAACCCTGTTCATTCCTGGCATGTGACAGCCTTTGTTGTAAAGCCTGGTGGTTGCCTCCATTCCTGGGAACCATTAGGTGGTTGTGTGGATGGAACAGTAGTACCCTGAGGATGTGTGTGTGTGTGTGTGTGTGTGTGTGGTGGCAGGAGAGAGAGGACAGAAAGGGAGCAGAGAGGGCGTCAGTTACTCAGATGATTCTTCCTTCCATTGTGAATAGTCAGCACAGGATTGGAACACAGCACAGGGAAGAATGACATAGCCCTAAGCATTGCCTAAGCCCTAAGCCTTATCTCCTAGGGAAATTCAGGTGAGTGGTTGAAAAAAGTAAGCTGCCAGTTGGTATGGACATGTGTTTGATTTTGTTTTGTGGTGGGTAAGTCAGGGTTGTCCTTGGATTTGGGACTAGAGCCCTTTGCCTCCAGAGTCTCCACTTAGATGGGAGGTGAGTTGAGGAGGCAGCAATGCAGCTGTCCCCATGCTGAGCCCTGTCCTTGTGCCATCACACTCTCAAGTAGGCCAGTTTTGTCCTTAGAACCTTTGGGACTATGGAATTTTTGCTTTGTGTCAAACTTCCTTCAGAATTGCCTAACTTTTTCTTCTCTCAAGAAGCTCGTAGCTCATAAAAATGTGAAGTTCTTTGTTTTCTTTTGTTGTTGTTTTGTTTTTTGAGACAAAGTCTTTTTCTGTCACTCTGGGTAGAGTGTCCTGGCATCATAGCTCACAGCAGCCTCAGACTCCTAGGCTCAAGCGATCCTCTTGCTTCAACTTCCCAAGATGGGATGATAGGCACCTGCCACAGTGCCCGGCTAGTTTTCTATTTTTAGGAGAGATGAAGTCTTGCTCTTGCTCAGGCTGGTCTCAGTCTCCTAAACTCAGGTGATCCATCTTCCTCAGCCTCTCAGAGTGCTGGGATTGAAGGTGTGAACCTCTGCACCCAGGCCATTGCAAAGTTCTTTCTGTCACTGTTCTTAATGGAATTCTTTAGGCCCATCAGCCTCCACTGTACCATGTTGGGATTTCAGAGGCCTCTAATACCACCTTGCCCACCAGATGCCGTCCTGCAGCCCCCACCTCTGCCTGCTTTGGTTCACTCATTAGCCTGGGGGAGCAGAGCTCGGAGGTCTCCTCACTGCTGGGTTGTGCATTTCTGGCTCTGCTGCCTCCTCCTTTGTCACCAGGACTCCTTGTGCTGCATGTGAGGTCTTCAGAGCCCCGACCATCGCCTTAGTCCTGGTATGTTCATTCATTCACATCCCTTCACACTTAATAGCAGCTGCTGCACAAGACCAAAAGCCAAGTGATGGATGATGATTTGCAAGGAATTTCTGGTCAGAGAAGCTTGTAGTTTAATTTTCTTGCTTTATTTTTGTGATAAAACATACATGACATAAAAATTACCATTTTAACCATTTTTTAGCGCATGATTCTGTGGCATTAAGTATATTCACAACGTTATCTAACCCTCAGCGCTATCTATTTCCTGGGCTTTCCAGAGTCTAGGTAGAGTCTCTGTCTGGGATGAGTAAGCAATAACTCCCCATCTCCCACTCTCCCCAGCCTCTGGCAACAACCCCTCTACTTTCTGTCTCTATGAATGGGCCTGTTCTAGGCATCTCGGATAAGTGGGTCCTATAATCTTTGTCCTTTTGTGATGCTGATTTCACTTGTCATATTTCCCAGGTTCATCCATGTTTTAGCATGGTCAGAGCTCCTTTCTTTCTGTGGTTCAGTGATGTTCCATACCACGTATAGATTGCATTTTGTTTATTCATTTATCTGTTATTGGACAAGTTTGCTTCAACCTTTTGACTTTATGAATAATGCTGCTAAGACCATTGGTATACCATTGGTTTAAATATATTAACTTCTTTAATTCTTACAACAGCTCTGTGAGTTGAGGCACATTTTTGACTCAGATTTATAGATAAGTAAGGTCACGAAGCTGGCAATAGTGAGGCCAGCATTCCAACCTCAAGGGTCTGAATTGCATACTCTGCCAACTTTCATAGAAATAGTCACTTTTTCTTTGAACTTATTATGTTCTGGATACGTTATGTGCATTAATTTCTAAATCCTGAAGATATTATGAGGTGGGCTTTAATATGCTTATGTTAATGAAGACATCAGTGTTCAGAGAGGCTAAGTGGCAGATACAGCCGTGTCCCCCGCACACCGGCTGTGCTTGCTTCTCTGCCAGAGTCAGAATGCAGCACACTTGGTTTCTTTGGGACCTGGGACAGCCGGACAGGTCAACCCTTCAGAGTCAGAATGCAGCACACTTGGTTTCTTTGGCACCTGGGACAGC